GTGTGTGTGTGTGTGTGTGTGTGTGTGTGTGTCATGTACAGGTGACACAAGAAGTCAAAACGAAATGGCAGAATGACTTTTTACTTTTTAGCTTTTTAAAAAAATGTAAGGAGTAAAAGTAAAAAGTCAGATGAAAAATAATTACTCAAGTAAAGTAAAGTACATATAACTAAAATCCCTACTTCAGTACGGTAAGGTAGTATTTGTACTTACTGTATTTATTTTACACTTCTGCTCCCAGGTTTTATTTAAGTTTTCCTTAATGACTAGTGAAGGTTATAAAACTAAACGTTGAGTAAATAATGAAACATCTTGTGTTGCTGCCTGTTCTCAGATCAGTGCAAACAGATCAGTTCTAGTTTAATTCTGAAAACTCAGTTTGTCGCCATCATGTGACAGGTCCCACTCAGATATGTGATAAGAATATTAATTATTATTATTATTTTATATTTTAATTCATTTTATTTTTATTTTATTTATTTAATTTCATTTTACTTTATTGTATTCTATTTTATTTCATTTTATTTTACAATATTTGATTTTATTTTACTTTATTTCATTTTATTTTACTTTATATTATTTTATTTTACTTTGTTTCATTTTATGTTTTTTTTTCATTTTATTTTACTTTACTTTATTTTATTTTTCTTTATTTTATTTGAATTTATTTCATTTTATTTTATTATTTATTTATCTAGTGCAGATCAAACCCAGGACCCTCTTGTTGTGAGGTGATCAAAGCTCAGCTCCTAACTTTACACTGACTTACAGTCAGGTGTGGGGTTTGATGCTGGTATTTGGACATTTTTTTAAACTATTGTCATAATTTTTAAAAACTTGTCTTGTGGTTCATGAGATATTTTGCTAACAGACACACAGTCCCCTCTAGAAGTATTGGAACAAGTCAAACTCTTGTTTTTCTTGTTCACTGTAGCCATTTGTGTTTAAGATCCATGATGAGACGAGTCAGTCTGAAGGTCTGCTGTTATTTCCTGGTGTTTACATGCAGATGTGATCAATTACTCGTGAAGTATTTCACCACAGTTTGTTTTCTCTGTAAAAGTGAAGAATCCAGAGCTTCTGCTTTATCTCCAGATGAAACAGCTCAAACACGCCAGTTATTCACAGAGCTCTACTTTGTTACAGTACTTATGTTATTCAGGATTTGTAATTTTACCAAGTATTTTTTCAAATCGTTACTTTTAACTTTATTTAGTTACGATTAAAACCTAAAAATGATACTTTTACTTCTTTACTTTAAAATGTAACAATTGTGTTACTTGTTGTAAATGAAATCTGATGACATCATCATGAGAGGAGGTGTTCCTGCTCCAAAACATGAAGGGTTGATTTTACTCAACTGGTTCCACTGAACCCAGTAGAGGAAATTTGAAGCTCAATTTACTCAGCTTGGTTTAGTGGAACCAGTTTGGTTCATTAAATTCAACAGTTGATTTCTTGCAGAGTGTGTAAAAGTACTTTTACTTACCTGATTCAGTACTTTTCTCGTCAGTGAGTTTTTTGCTTTTAAGGTATTTTTACTTTTATGTAGTTTTTTTCGCCAAGTACTTTATAGCCTCTGATTATTTACAACACAAATGTTAAAAGGATGAAATCCTTGGAACTATAGAAACAAGTATTATTGACCAAAGACTGTAAGTATCTGTCAGACACT